CATCAATCATCAAATATCCTTCAATTTTAATGATTATATTTGATAATTATAAAATTATTGTTCAATTGAAATTCGTTTGCAATATTATTTAATATCACAAGTAAAGAAGCATGCTTATTCTAACATAAACTTTGTATATCTATGTTTTTTTATACATATGTTATATTAAAAAAAATATATGTAGAGATAATTTTATTGTTAAATTTCATTTTGATGTATTGAATACATTTTATTATTAATAAATTATGTTTGAGGTATCAAAACTGCCTTTTTGTTCAAACACAGCAACGTGTGAACGGGTACAGCTAGGTGGAGCAGAGTATCAAACATAAGGTTATCTTGACAAGTATAGATTCAGTAGGGATTGGATATTTTCTAGAATATTTTAACAAATGTTCGTTAGGAAAACTTTTACTCGGGTAAAAACCGGGCGAATCCGAGTACATTATCTAGTTTTAGATAATGATGCATTCAATTAAAGATAGGTATAATTTCTTTATATGGATCAGAGCTCATTTTTAAAAAGCGCTGTTATAAAGACTTCTCTATCTATCTAATATATGATGTGATATATGTTATATACGGTGAATATTACTCTTGGAAATTGATTGATAATTGTTGAGGTGTTGGCGCAGTCCTGGTGCTGAGTGGACAGGTGTTCACAACAGGGGAAAAATAAGCAAGAGTACGCAATTGGTGGGATTGAAATAAAGGCAACTGAATCGAGGGAGAGAAGGGCTTGAGAGGTTGAGTGGATTGACTATTGGCTGTTCAATTACATGATGGAATATTTGACTTATCTGATAGGTTGAGGTGGTGAGGATGACTCCAAAGTGCCAGGTGCTAACTCGGTGGTGTCCAGCTAACTACTCGATGGTGTCCAGCCGATAACTCTAGGTGCTACCTCGGTGGGACCCAAGTTCCTACTCTAATTTTGTGTTCTCGATTTAAGAAGAAAGCTCGTCTTCCTTCTCATTGGTTGACCTGCGTGACGTGGAAGTTCGCTATAGGCTCGAAGCTAAATGAGCTGCTCTGTGATTGGCCCTTTCTAACTCTTTGTCTTTGGACTTGTTTTAACTTGACCAGGAAGTGCCAGGTTCTTGAACTCGAATTTTACGAGTTCCGGGATAATAAAACCCTGTTAATGATCGTTCTCTCTCTAGGCCTTCTCTCTCCAGATGTGTTAAGCCTTGATCTTTATTAAATCTTTGAAACATACATTTCATACACATTGGGTCGGGTTTGCATCTAGCTATGTACAAATTATGACATATATCCTCTAATGTATGATATGATATACCCTGACCTGCAGGGCTGGGTCTTCGGGCATGGTCTAGACCAGTGTCGGGCAACCTTTTTCGAGTTGCGGCGCACTAAGCCTAATTTCTTTTTTTCGCGGCGCACCTGTGGTTCTCACTATAAATTTCCTCGTAGGTAATTAAAATACAACAATAAATACTAGAGTAAAAATTTAAACATATATCACATTTTATTAATTTTCAATATTAAATTAACATAATCAATGCGAGCATTGCGATTGTTTTTGAGAGCATATCAAATCAATACGGGGATCTACTTGTGAAAGACAAACGCGCATCTCCTCATCTATCATTTGAAGTCTTTCGCGCTTCTTAGACTTCATTTCTGTGAGTGTTGAAAAACCTTGCTCACACAGGTAGGAACTTCCAAATGGCAACAATGATTCGATGGCCGCATTACTGAGTTTAGGAGATTTGGAGTTTAAGCACAACCAAAACTCAGATAGCTCCTTTTCAGTGAATAGTCTTTTGAAAACTAAATCGTTTTTTAAATCAATTAAGTTTTCTTGCATTTCTTCTTCCAGATGTTGAATTTCACAGTGCATAAATGGGTTAACTACCCATTCCATCTTTTCAACGTCCAAGTAAGGAAAATATTTATCAAAAGAAGCGGATAGTAATGTTAAAGTTTCTTCGACTTCTTTTTTGATAATAGATTTTGATGGATTCCCTTTGAACCATCGGAAAAGATGCAAAGTTTTCTTTAGCAATGTTTAAATTCCATAAACTGAGTTTTTCCTTAAACGCTTTCAACTTGGTGGAGATAGTGATAATGTTCTCCTGAGCACCTTGCAAATTTAAATTAAGGCTGTTTAATTTGTCGAAAATATCACCCAAAAATGAAACTCGTAACCACCAAACATCACTCATCATGAAAGGAAAATTAATCTCTTCGTTATCAATGAATGCCATTATTTCATTTTTCATTGAAATAAATCGATTTAAAACTTTGCCTTTCGACAACCATCTGACTTCAGTATGAAACAATAAATTTTTATAATCGGAATCCATTGCTTCACAAAATGTTGAAAAAATTCTCGATCGAAGAGCATTTGATTTGATGTAATTGACTACTTTGACAACTTCATCTAGAGTTGTGACAAGGATGGGAGGAACCGACTTTGACACTAACATTTCTCTATGAATCATACAGTGAACAAATTTGATATTTGGATTTTTTTTTATGACATGTGCTATCAATCCCTTTCTTGAACCTTTCATAGCTGGAGCTCCATCCGTACAGACGCTAACACAATTTTCCCATCTCAAGTTATACTTCATAACATTTTCATCAACTAATTCAAAAATGTCCGCACCAGTCGTTCTTTGTTTTAATTCTTTACAAAAAAAGTAGTTATTCACAATTTTTCCTGTATCGACGAACCTCAAAAATGCCAGCAATTGAGCTTTATTACTAATATCTGTGGTTTCATCAAGCTGTATAGCCCATTTTGTTGATGAATCATTAAAAGATTGTTTTATTTGCAACTCAATATCTTCTGACATATCTTCAATTCTTCTCGCAATAGTTTGTGTTGATAGTGGAATTTTCGTAACCTTCTCCATAGCATCATTCGTTAACATACATCCAGCCACAATTTTTAAAGCAGGCAAGATAATTTCCTCTGCTTCCGCGTGAGCTTTCTTCTTTCGAGCGATGAGTTGAGCTATCATGTAACTAGCTGTTTGAGCTTCATCTGAGGTGGTCATAAATTTCTTGAATTTTTTTGATTGCTTTTGAAAACTTGATCGTATATTTTCAAAGTAGCTTATTGGATTGTTCATCTGCTCCCGATGATTTGTCTCAATATGTCGAAGTAGTTTACTTGGCACCATTGTTTCGTTGCTGAGGGTTTTTTGGCAAATTAAGCAAAACGGCAGTGATGGATCATTAACAGATGGTATAAATCCATATTTGAGATAATCTTCAACGAATTTCCTCTTATTTCCAGTTGATTTTACTATTTTCTTATCTTCTTTATTTTCGTTTTGATTTTGTTTATCACTGGCTCCTTCTCTAATTAGAAATCTCTCCATCTAGTTTTGAGAGAATTTAGAAAAAAAAACACACAAATATAATAATAAAATGTTTAAATAAAGTTACCTTGAGTTAAAAGTGAGTGAGAATTTCGTAACAAAAATATTTTTTTCCTTTTTTAACCAGCAGATTTTACGGTGTACAAAACTTATTGTGTGAATGTGTGTGTGTTTTACAACATGCAAAAAAATAAAGAATTACTACAGCAATACTTTGACGAAAACTCCGAATAAATTTTTAAAATAAATTTATAATTTTTTTTTTTTTTTTTAAGCTTTGTAGCTTTGAGTCTCTATTAATAAACAGCTGTGACAAAGATTGTAAATGACGGTTAAGTTTGGACATATTATTTTAAAAATTAGGTATTCCCCCCCCCCCGCAGTATGTATTAAACTTTATTAAATAAAGTTGTTTGCGCGGATTGTTTTTTTTAACTTATGATTTTAAATAGGTACGTACCTATTTGCATTTTTATTTTTTAATAATGGCACGTGCCAGTTATGTACGTCAAGATTATGTACATACGTTATATGAAATATAAAATTATGCAAACTGTTGTAATTATAATACCAAAATAAGTTTTATATAAAATGAAATTTGCTTTTTTTTAATTTCATTTTTTATATGAAAATTTTTGAAAAAAATTATTAAAATTGAATAAAAATTATAAAAAATATTATTTGAAACATTATTTTTAAATTTAACCAAAAGTTCTAAATACCTACAAAAATGTTCGCGGCACAACTAGAATTCTTCGCGGCACACCAGTGTGCCACGGCACACCGGTTGCCCGACACTGGTCTAGACGATGACGCCCTGGCCATCCTGGCGTCTGCCAAGACGCGCATCTAAAGGTACTTCCTCGGCGTGGAACTGAGGCGGACTTGTCTGAAGGAGGACTCTCTCAAGGTGGGGAAGCCTTCTTTGCTGAAGAAATTTGTACACATACACAACTATATATATTCCCCTACATTTTATATACCCTTTATTGACTTTATTATTTGTTTTTTCCACCTTTGTAACAATTGATTAGAAGAATCATTTAATTGTTTAAATTGTCAATTGTCAAATATATGATATATTCCCATATTTTATTATTGACATATATGTAAACCAGGCTTCTGAAGCATATCTATAGATCGCCAACTACCCGGGCTGTCCTGCAGTTGAGGAGTCTGTCTTGCTTGCCTTAGTGAACCAGTTCACCATGCATTTCCAGGCCGATTTGTTTCTTGTTAGATTCAATAGGGCAGTGTTATTGAATGAGGGCAGCCCAGAAGTATAGCCGTCTGTAATTACTCTAGTTAGATTGTTAGGCAGCTGACATGATCTACGGTTTGATCTTTCTCTTGGCAGTGTGGACATGTTGGATCAGGGTCTTGTTTAATTCATGCCATTTCGGCTTGAACATATCCATGTCCTGATGTCGTGGTTGATGTTCCTAGTTGTATTTTTCTGAGGTTATTTTTAATTTGGCCGGGAGTGGGTGAGCATTTTCTCATATGGTATTCTCATTAAATAATATTGTGTGTGATAAAAAAATGAATATGAATATAGACACACACAAACAACATTTATTGGCTTGTAAGTCCAGAAGGGCTGCTGTGTAGGTCTGGGGGGAAGGATGAGGGGAGTAAACACAATCCTCCAAGAAGGTCGCGTCCATCTTTTTAAAGAACCAGCGACCTAAGGATCACCGTTGAAACATCTACAGTCCTTCGCTCTGTCAACTGAGCTATCGAGGGATAAATTTTATTTTATATATAATTTTTTTTTGCGCTGGCAGAGTCGACATGTTCATTGTACATAGTATGATGCATATATATATAATTATATTTTTTAAATAATGCAGACTGTGCACTTTGGCATGTATTGACAAGATGTCAATAAAATTATTTTAATCTTCAAATTGTCTTTTTAAAGAAGAATACGCTCCTCTTCGAGATCGGCCGACTTATTCTTCCTGGCAGGAGCTCCAGCCGCCTTGGCCACGTGCAGTGATCCATCAAGGGGAACATCCTTAGGATTTTTGTTGACGATCCTGACTCTGTCCCTATCCAAATGTTCCAAAATGGATGGATAACACGGAGAAGGTCTCCTCGCCTTGCAGAGGCCTGGGGAGATTGGTGACGGTTGCCTTCCAGCGAGCTTTGTGGGCCAAAAAAAAAATATATATATATATAAATGAGAAAACAATAGAAAAAATAAAAGATAAGTGGGTCAGGTGTTGATATTAAAAATAAAGAAGGCATCTCCTGAGCACGAGCACATGTGCTTTTTAGATGGCAGAGCGCCATCTAGTGGAGCAAGAATAAACTAAACGTTTATTTAGCTTGCTCCGTGATATTTGGCCAACCCAATTTCTTGATAAATCAATAAAAGCCATCCACGAACTTTTCTTGATTTATCAAGAAATTGGGTTGGCCAAATATCACGGAGCAAGCTAAATAAACGTTTAGTTTATTCTTGCTCCACTAGATGGCGCTCTGCCATCTAAAAAGCACATTTGCTCGTGGTCAGGAGATGCCTTCTTTATTTTTAATATATATAAATGTGGTGAGATCTGGTAGCCTCTTGTAGAATCCTGTCGACTGAAAATGTGATGTGGTATCCAGTCGACTTAAACTATGGTGTGAGTCCCTGTAACTCTCGCTATACTGTGTTGACAGAGAGGAACAGTCAGGATGGGGAGTTTTCCAGTACCTCTCTGCACCTTGGAAGACCTTTAAAAGTTCTCACAAAGTACAGGCAGTCGTGGTCGAGGCAGAGTGGAAAGCTTGGGAATGTCCACACAATAAACGAAGACACAGTTGCACTAAGAAAGTTCCGTGAACAGATAAAAGTTGAGCTAGGAGCGAAAGATGGAGATAGAAGAGTTCTTACTGACTACATGGTGGATGAGGTGGACCTGGGGTACAACCGACGAGGGCTCACGCAGATGGTGAAGTAACTGTATTTTTAGGTTAAAACGGGGGCTTTATATATCTTTTCTGAGAAAGGGAGTTTTGCATTTCACCAGATGTGAATAGTGTGGATCGTCTGGTGGCATTCTAAACTGGCGCCGTCCTGACAGCTTCCAATCTATCTTTAGATGTTGTTTGTGACTTCCATCTATCTCGAATTAAGACGTTTTTGACTTCTATCTCTTTAGCTCAACTCTTAATCTATTACAGAGTTTTATTTATTTATACTCAGTTTGTACAAATTACATTACATATGATGATATAATGACACATGTCAATCATGCGTATAATCATTTACAGATGTGTTTCTATTATACAACACGAAAATCTTGTTATAAGTTATATACAATATGGGGTTGTTGGTTAAAATACCATATATATATATACAGTTATACCTGTCTATAGCGCCCCCTCTTGGGACTCACTGAAATAGGGTGCTATAGACATGGGGTGCTATAGACAGGTCACTTTTAATGTAAATCGCATCGTACTACGTATTTAAAATCGGGCGCTATTTAGAGGAAGTGCTATAGACAGGTTTAACTGTATATATAGATATAGATGATATTTGAAACAGATTAATATATTATAACAATGAATTCATCTTGAATTTTTCCAGTGTAATTGTGTTTGTAATTCCAGTGAGGTTTGAGATAGAAACACCTGAATTTTAAAATTCTTCTAACTTTTAGGTCATGAACAATCCCTGAAAAAAAAAAGTCTAACACCTATTTGTTTCCAATCGTACATCACACACAAATCGTGTTCATATAAATAGATGATAGAGTTGAAGAAGAAGTTAATGATGATAAAAAGAATTCATTATCATTTAACATCATCATCATTTAAAAAGGATTAGAAATTAAATTAAAAGATGTTGAAATAAATCTATTACTATATTTTTATTTATAAATCGTGGATGGCTTTTCTTGATTTATCAAAAAATTGGGTTGACCAAATATCAGGCTACAGGCTAAATCAATGTTTATTTGATTTCTGTTCCACCAGATGGTGCTTTGCCATCTGAAAAGTACATGTGCTCCTGGTAAGGATATGCCTTTTTTATTTCAACACCTGACCTTTTTATTTTTTCTATTATTTTCACATTTTTATTTATATTATATATATATCAACATATATAGTCACGACCGTCTTTCCTCAATTCCTCATCGGCCGCTGTCATGGATGCGCGCGCATCATCATTATGATCATTATCATTATCTAATGATAATAATAATAATAATTATTATTATTATATCATTATATATATATATATATATATAAAACTAGTGAACATTTTTTTCCGGTCCCTTGAAAAATACTCGATAAGTTGAATAAAATCAATATTAATTGGTTCCCTCGGTAATTGGAAGTTAAAGGAATAGTATCTTGCCTTGGAATTGTATCATTATTCTTGTCTCAAATAAATTGCCGTGTCATCCTGAGATAATCTTACTTTTGATAAATAATATTTAAGATTTTATTATATATATTACTAGCGGATGTGTACCCGGCTTCGCCCGGGTTTTATCCGAGTGAAAGTTTGCCTAACGAATATTATTGATAATAATATTCGGGAACACACAGAATATTATGATAATAATGATAATTATATTCGTTACGTCATATATTTATATAATATAGCGGATGTACCCGGCTTCGCCCAGGTTTTTCTCGAGGGAATGTTTGTAGTCTAGTAATAAGAAAATATACTACACCTAAAAACTATCAGAGAAAAGAGAAACCACGGAAGGTAAACAGAAAAATGCTTACAATGGATGTATATGTTTACGATATCAAGTTAAATAAAAACAAAGATAAAATTTGCATATGTTGGTCACTATAAATTTGTATATTTGTTAGGCGAAATTAGAAACATGATAAAACAATATGAATATTTTTTAGATTGAGATTATTAGCTAGTATGTAAAAAAATTAACTCTGTTGAAATTTAATTTTGCATTTATATATAAATAAAATTAACTCTGTTGATTTTTTTGTATTTTATCGATAACAGCGAAGTTACGCATGTTAAAGTTAGGAAAAATATTTTGATGTTAAGCAAAACCTGCTCCATCTCGTTTTACATAAATGTTGAAAATTTGGTCGAAATTGATGCATTGTAACGAAAGTTTTTTGCGAACACCACTTATGAAATTTCCATTTTATTAATATAGATATATTATATTATATATATATTACACGTTATTTGTTTTCTTGGCCGACTGTTTTACATATGGTGTTATCTTAAAATTGGTTGTTTTGAATATTTTTTTAGATTGAGATTATTAGCTAGTATGTAAAAAAATTAACTCTGTTGAAATTTAATTTTGTATTTATATTATAAATAAAATTAACTCTGTTGATTTTTTTTTGTATTTAATCGATAACAGCGAAGTTACGCATGTTAATGTTAGGGAAAAATATTTTGATGTTAAGCAAAACCTGCTCCATCTCGTTTTACATAAATGTTGAAAATTTGGTTGAAATTGATGCATTGGAACGAAAGTTTTTAGTGATGTACACTTATGAAATTTGCATTTTATTAATATAGATTGAATGTCTGTCTGTCTGTTTGTCTGTATTCTATAGATTCAAAAACCATACATCCAATCGCCGTGAAATTTTGGGATATTATTAGGTATATCACCGGGAAGGTTTTTGAAAAATAATTTCATGAATATCTTGAATATCCTTAGAGTTATTTGCAGATTTGTAGATTTAACTCGCAAGCAACACCCCCATTGTGACGATGATAACAAGTTTTCTTATCACTAAGTTTGTTATCTCTTAAATATTATTTATAAAAGTAAGATTATCTCAGGATGACACGGCAATGTGACACGGGAAAAAAATGTTCACTAGATAAAACTATGATTTTCTAATGTAGAAAATTAGGAAAGACAAAAATCAGGATGACACGGCAAACAGGGACCGGGAAAAATGTTCACTTTATCGAGAGATTCAAATTTACGAGTTTCAAATTATCAAAATATATCTTTTTTTTTTATAAGTTTTTAGAGAATTGTTTTAACAAATGTTCGCTAGACAAACCTTTACTCGGGTAAAACCCCGGGCGAAGCCGAGTACGTTTTATAAGTTTATAGAGGATTGTTTTAACAAATGTTCGTTAGACAAACATTCACTCGGGTAATTAATATATATAGTCACGACCGTCTTTCCTCAATTCCTCATCGGCCGCTGTCACGGATGCGCGCGCATCATCATTATGATCATTATCATTATCTAATGATAATAATAATAATAATAATAATAATTATTATTATTATTATCTATTATCTATATATATAAAAATGAATGTATGTGTGTGTGTGTGTGCTCTGTTTGTCCTTTATGCCTGACCAAACCACTCATTGAAACGCCATGAAACTTTGGGAAGTTATTTAGTATAGTACTGGAAAGGTTTCTAGCAAATAAAATTTTTGAAATAACTTTTCGCTTTAAAATAATCAAGATAAATATTCTAATTTATCTATTATAATTCAACAATCTGCTCTAAATATTATCATGATGATACGATGATTTTGTAATGTAGAAAATTAGGAAAGACAAAATTCAGGATGACACGGCAATTTATTTGAGATAAGAATAATGATACAATTCCAAGGCAAGATACTATTCCTTTAACTTCCAATTACCGAGGGAACCAATTGATAATGATTTTATTCAACTTATCGAGTATTTTTCAAGGGACCGGGAAAAATGTTCACTTTATCGAGAGATTCGTTAGACAAACCTTTACTCGGGTAAAACCCGGGCGA